TTGTTCATCTTTGCATCATCTTGCAGGTGATGAATTATTCTTTCCTGCATCCTCGTTGTTTTTAAGAGATCCTTTCTTACCTTTTCACTAGGTGCACCAGCATCTTCAAGATCTGAAACTCTGTCTTTACTTTCACTTAAACAGTTTTGAAAGCTTGTGATTGAGGTTCTAATTTCCTCTATATCTCTTTGACTCTGCTTCATGCGATCTATTTATTTCCTGTATTGCTCATTCAAGGAATCCGTCATTTTTCTAATCTTCTCTATTTTTTTTAATCAATGTCTTCTTTAGAAGCAGTTATAAGTTCTTTTACTGCAGTGTTTTTTCAGATTGGTTTTCCTCCTTATGTTTCTGTAGTTGCTTCTTTACTTCAGATGCTATAAGTTCTGAGAATTCTTTTTTTTTATTTCAGAAAGAATTGTGCTCTGAGTTCCTGTATAACTTTCTGCTGTTGCTTAATTACTATCGATGCTATTACTTCATGCATTTGAGCCAAGCTAGTGTCCACTGCACTTGTTCTGGGTGGGCATTGGATTTCCTCCATATGTTTCTGTATTTGATTGTTTATTGCAGATGTTATTAATTCAGGGATTTCTTTTTTTAATTTCCAATCTGAGTTCCTCTATACCTTTTTGCAGTTGTTTCTTTATTTAAGAAGCTGTTGATTCATTGCTTTCAGCTATGTGATTCTCAATTTGTTCTGTGTTAGTGTCCTCTGCACTTGTTATGGGTGAGCTTGGGTTCTCTGGTTGCATTTTGTTCCTTCTCGTCATTTTGTGTAGCACTGTTTTCTGACCTTTGTTTTAGATCTTTGTTGTAGTTATAACCTTAGTACATACTGAAGTTCAGGTTCAGATCTACAAAGTTTGGATTTATCCAGCTCTGCTTGCCTTGGGTCTTGTTGCTGTGCTCAGCTCCTTCCTGCTGCTTCCTTGGGGGTGAACCTGTTGTGCCCCTCTGGCAAGATTTTCTGCTTCTGGACTAGCTGGGTGGCTCTATCCTCTACAATCTCTGCAGGGATTGAAGCTGCAGGGTTTCACCTCAGGCCTGTATGCCAGGCCTGAGTTGAGCCTGGATGGGACAAGGTGGAGTAGGGCGGAGAGGCAGCTCTCTCACACACTCACTGGGCCTGGGCTAGGACTGGGTCTTGGGGTTCCCAGAAAGTGGCTGAAATTCCTACTGGGTGGGCGGTGTGGGGGAGGTGCTGCAGAGTGGTGGGTGGGCGTCCCAAGGGGGTGGAAGATTGTCTTACCCATGCTGTGCGTGGCCTGGGACCAGTAATAGGTCCCGCCAGCGTAGGGTAGCTGGAAGCTCTCCCACACACTCACCAGACCTCGGGATTCCCTTTAAATGTGATCTGTTTCTTTTCTTTATTGGATTTTAGTATACCATTCCTGTGCTGAATTTCTGGGAGTTCTTTATTATATGTCTGGGTGCATTTTTAATTGGATTGATGTTATTTGGAATTCTGTATGCTTTGGTGAACTGAATGTCAGATTGTTTCCCCATATTTGGGAAGTTTTCTTCTATTAGTTCTGCCCATATTCTTTTTATATCATTTGTACTGACTCCTTCTTTCTCATTGATGCTTATTAGTCTTATGTTGTTCACCTTTGCATCATCTTGCACATATTGAATTATTTTTTTCTGCATCGTAGTTGTTTTTAAGAGATCTTTTCTTACCTTTTCACTAGCTATAACAGTGTCTTCAAGGTGTGAAAGTCTATTTTCCCTTTCATTCAAACAGTTTTGCCAGCCTATAATTGAGGTTTTAATTTCCTATACATCACTTTTAATCTGCTTCATGCATTAATTTCTTTCCTATACTGCTCATTCAAGGATTCCTTCATTTTTATATTCTCCTCTTTTTTTAATCAGTGTCTTCTTTAGAAGCACTTAGTACTTTTTTTTATAGCTATCATTTCTTTTCTTACTTCAGAGATTATTTCTGATCTGATTTCCTCTATACCTGTCTGCAGTTATTTCTTTACTTCAGATTCTATCATTTCAGAGATTTCAGGTGTGTGATTTCCAATTTCTTTTATGCTAGTGTCTCCTACATTTGTTCTAGGTTTCCTTGGGGCCTGAAAATGCATTTTGCACTGTCCCTTTATCATTTTGTATACCACTGTCTTCTGACCTTTGATGTAGAGCTTTGGTAGAGTTATTATCTTAGCACCAGGTCTGGATCTACCAAGTTCACACTCGTCCAAGTGGGTGTGGCTTGGGTCTGGCTGCTGTTATCCACTTCTTCCTGCTGCAGCCCTTGGAGGTGAACCCTCCATGCCACTCTGGCAAGATGTTCTGCTTCTGGATCAGCTGGGTGGGTCTTACCTCTAGCCTTTCTGCAGGGAGTTCTGCTGCAGGGCTCCACATTGGGCCTGTCTAAGGGAAGAAATTCCCCACACAGGCCTGGCCTGGGTGCTGGCTCAAGTGGGGGTCCTGCAGGCTCTGGGTGGTCCCACTCGCACCAGCTTTTATAATATTTTATGCTGCTTTATTTTTTATATTTATCTTTTCTAGATCCCCTAATCATGCTCTTCATATGGCCAATGTTTTTGTTGTTTTCTAAGCAATTATTTATCTTTTAATTTTTTTAGCTCCGCATAACTGCTTTGTTACTTCCACTGTTTTCCACTTCAGGTAGTCAATGTGGGTGGCTTTTGAATTGTTATATGTCTTTGCCTCCTGGGTTTGCCTTTGGTGGGGCTGAATGTCTGAGGTTGTGTTTTGATTCTGTATATTCTCACAGAATCCTCACAGAGGATTAATTTTTTAATTGTTTTTTAAAAAATTAATCCTCTATGTTCAGATTATGAATTGTCTATGTTATCTTTATTGCTCATATCAGGAACCCTTAGGAAATGACTATTTCTTAGAAATGTCTTTCAGTTGTAGCTGGATTTGGGGTTTTTATTCTGTTCCAAGATCCTACTACTTCAATTTCTTGAGGATGAGAAATTGCTGCCTACTACTTCAATTTCTTGAGGATGAGAAATTGCTGCCTTTTTGACTTAGTCTCTGGTTCTTTGGAACTGACCTGTGGTGTTGTGCATGACCTTCAGGCAATTTCAGTGCTGACATGCAAGAACAGCAATTCCTTAGAACAATTATGTCACTACTTCTACCAAAGTAGTAATTTCAAGAATAGCAATTGCATCAAACATGTACAAGAAAATGACAAACTGGTAATTATTAATTTGCCACTTTTAACTGTATAGACAAAATTTGTAGTTGTATAACCAAATCTAAAATAAAATAGAAAATTGTGTATGGTAAATATCCTCTCAAAATGGTGATTTTACCCATGAGAGAGAAAAGTTAAAATGGGCTAGTGGAAAAAAATAGGTCAGGCTGGGCCTCACTGTGAATTCAAGACCAGTTTAAATTATACAGCAAGGTTCTATCTCACAAAACAAAACAAAAGAGCTTTATTGAGATGACTCATATATACTTTGAGCCATTTCAAGCCCACCCTTCAGTGGTTTTCAAAGAAATGTGCAACTATCATTGCAACTGGTTTTTGTCACATTTCATTACCCCCTCTTCAAATATCTATATGTTGTCATTCCACATTTCTCCTCCTGCCCTAGCTTCTACTAACCCTCCCCTCCAGCCCTGGCCCAAGCTGGTTCTAATTGTTCTGAGTCCTCTGGCTCTGCCACAGACAACCCTGAAGCCCTTAGTTAGAACACTGGTATGTCTTATAGAAATATTCAGAAAAACACCCATCCTACATCAGGAGAAGTATAACTCTTATTTCATTTGAATGTATAACTTAACTTACTCCATTTGGAGTTACTTTTCTTATTTCCTATCTAGAACAGAAATCACTGAACTTTAGTGGATAAGAATTACCTGGAGATTCATCTACTTTCCTTAAGTTCTTAGAGTCTCTGGGTAGATAAAAGCAAGTGCATGTAACACATGGTGGCCAATTTCATTTGCAAACAAAAGAACAACCTGAGTGAGGAACAAAAATTCTGTGATGTTAGGATTCTTTGGAGCTGAGATTTTTCTATGACTTATACTATGATTATATGCTTTGTGTGTAAAAGACAACTAATATCTGGGAACCACAGAGAACCCATTGACTGCCCTCAAAGACATCCAACTGAGGGGAAAAACTACTCACCATACTCGTTTGGAGGAGAATTGAGTCTTGTTTTTACCACAATAACCCACTGAATTTTTTTCTTGATTTTGAAGATAGAGAATACAGAAGAGATACATGAGCAATTACAAACATTTTTGACTGAAATAAGAAAACTCTCTGAAGATTATGACTTGTACATAGCCAACAGATTGTTTGGAGAAAAAACATATCTCTTTCTTCAAGTAAGTTTTGCTGTTCTCAGTACATCTATGAGTGTTAGTTGTGATTGGCTAAATGGCCACAGGGGTCCTGGGAGCTCTTGCCAAAGTTAGCTGGTTCTGTTCTCCTCACTGGTGGTCTTTCTGGTCTGCTCACCAGACATTGGACTCATTTTCAGTCCTGGTAAACTGAACCTGATTTTTGCCTTAATGCCACTAAACCTGCATAAAATTATCCCTAAAGATACTCAATGTGGCTCTTGCAGAGTCTAAAAATTCTTCTTTTGACATTAGTTGCCCCAACAAACACATTTTATGTAGAGGTTCAGGCAATTGAAAAATTGACTTTAAAATTTCTTTTTTGTCTTCCCTGTTTGACTTAAAGAAATATTTAGATTATGTTGAGAAATATTACCATGCATCAATGGAACCTGTTGATTTTCTAAATGAAGCTGACCAAAGTCGAAAGAAGATGAATGCTTGGGTTGAAAGCCAAACAAATGGTAGAGTATGGATGGGGGTTTATGCATCATACAGAAACTTCTTGATCACTTTCTGTGAGTGAAATTTTGAGCTTCACACTACATGGGACCCTTTGGGAAGGGACATGGGTTTTGCAGGGAGTAAAAGACAAAGCTGGAGATGAAGGGGATGAGAAGGCACTGCAGATGGTCACCATCTATGTAGAGAGATTCAAGGTAAACAGTGAGTGTGCCACAGAAAGCCAGTCATAGGGAAGTACTTAGGAATTGTTTGCCCACAGATCGTAATATATTTGGTGTTCCATAAACTGGGCTCATATCTATATTCAGTTTATTATTTATCTTATATCAAAGCATTTCTTTCTGAGCCTGAGCCCATAAGTGCAAATGTGTAGATGGTTTCTTTTTCTTTGTTAAGTGGGTTCTTTGTTCAAGACTGTCTCTGCTGTCTACAGGTGGGACCACTTGGACATTGCCTTCATTTGTACATTATGCAGACTTGACACAACTTTTATCTCCATCCCACAGCAAATAATTCAATGAATTATTGATGTCATTCTCCCATTCTCATTCCCAAGCATGAGCTAAATATACATGAAATTCTGGAGAGATATATTAATATGGAAATAGGGCATAGGAGCAATAAATGATATTTAAAATTTTATTCCAGTTATTAGAGAAATTTCTGTTAATAGAGACTGGATATTTCTTTATCCTTTATCTAGAAAAAAAGTAAAAGATCAGAAAATAAGGGGTCTATCCAAAAGTTCACTGAACAGTATTTTTCAGAATTTGGTGTTGGAGGATTGAGCCAAGAACTCAAAACATCAAGTTATTTTCCCATAGAGTAAGTACTCTGTAAATCTCAAGGAGAAATTCTAATTACATTGGCAAGAAAACAGCCAACACTGAATTCTTATGATATGTCAAATAGCATTCTGAGTTCTCACACAATTAATCATTTCACCAACCTTTAGAGGAGGTTTTATTCCTATTTTTTCATATGTGGAAACTGAGGCACAGAGAAGATAAATGCATTCTTCAGCTGATAGAGGCCCAAACTGGATGCAAACAGTCAGTCTGGCCACCAAGCCTGAACACTTAACAATCAACCTTACTTCATGCAGAGAGATAAGTAGACAATGTACAAAGTGAGGAGATCCACTGATTCTGCCAGCAAACCCTTCGTCAGCAGAGCTTTCAGGTGCTGACTTGGCTGAGTTGCTAATGAGTGAGTGGCCAAGTCCATTTGTATCATGTCTACCACACAAATCATTTGTCATTTGGAAGATGGCTCAATCCTTTTTGTCTGTTTGCAGAAAAGATCAAAGATGTATTTCCTGAAAACTCTATAAGTAGCTCCACAAAGCTGGTGCTGATAAATGCAATTTATTTGAAAGGAAAGTGGGATAGGGAGTTCAAGAAAGAAAATACAAAGGAGGAGGAGTTTTGGCTGAATAAGGTATGATGCTTTATTGATGTGCTTATACAATGCCTTAGTTACTTTTCTCATTGATGGGGCAAAATACCCAACATCCAAAGTTAAAGGGAACAAGGTTTATTTCACACATAGGCTGTAGAGATTTCAGTCTAGAGTTGGCTGGCTCTAAAGTTAGGGTGAACGCCAGATAGGCAGTGCAGAGGAGAAACTACTTAGGGTGGGCAGAAGGTAGCAAAGCAAGCAAGGCTCAACCACAGCCTTTTCTATCCTTTATATCTTATTCAGGCTATAACACTCTAACCTTAAATCCTAGTGCCCTTGATCCCAGCAATGCGCCATGAATTAATCTCAGCATCACACATTCTAGATCCAGTCACCTCTTTAAAAAAAAAAACCCTGCTTATGGCCACATTAGACTGGGCAGGGGGAGAATCTACACACAAGCTATAATATACATATAATATGAAATCTAAAGTCATAGTTGAGCAAATGGATGCTGGTAGATAGCAAATGTTCTTTCGGTAATTCTAATCTTCAGCTTTTTGAAAAACTATTTCAGTGAGCTAACTTGGTTGCCTTACATCTCTTCTCGTATGTCATTGACATTGCATGCTCTGTTGGTCTGTTGCAGAGTACAAGTAAGCCTGTGCAGATGATGGCACAGAGACATTCCTTTAGCTTTGTTTTCCTGGAAGACTTGCAGGCCAAAATTGTGGGGATCCCATATAGAAACAACGAGCTCAGCATGTTTGTGCTTCTGCCCAATGACATCGATGGCCTGGAGAAGGTGACCCCTTGTGTCTACTTATTTTTGCTTTCCTTTCCTGAGACTTTGTATGCCACCAATTTCACTTGGGCATGTCAGGAAATAGGGCATTTGAATAGCAGTTGTTGCCTGTGTCAAGTGGGAAGTAATTCAGTGTGTAGCAGCTTGTCTAAAGAGGAACATTAAAAAGTATCAGCCTTATTGAGGATAAAGAGTATCTAAATATTCGGGATGAGCTAAAATGAACATTTAAGATTATATGAGAATTCTAAGAACTGATTGAAATCTATGGACTTCCTTCCTGGAAAAAAACTTAAACATGCATTACAGAGCAAATTTTGCTTATTTGACCTTTTGAAGTTTTCACTGATTCTTAGTTTTGAACTAAGTGACTTAGAGATACCAACTTTTTAGTTATAACATTAATGTGGCTACAGAATGTGGGCATCAGAAAGACTTATTTATCTATTTGTTTTTGTCTTTTTGAGTCAGTGTATTGCTATGCAGTTCATGCTGGCCATGAGTTCACTTTGTAACCCAGCTTGGTCTCAATTGTAGCTTTCTGATTGTTGATGAACCTCAATATTTTAACAGATATAAATTGGGCTCTGTGGTGCTTAATATAATATAAGATTGGGTAAATGTAACCCAGAGCAGGCTACTCAATAAATGGTAAGTGATTAAAATGCACAGGAAAAATAAAATAGATTTAATCTGTGCTGTGAAACTTGGCTGGTAGCCTTGTAAATTGGAAAGTATTTTGCAATAGCAAAGTGATTTTTATACTCTTAAAAATCTCAAAGTGGTTTGAAAAACCACTCAAATGTAGGAATTACCCTAAGGAAATAATACAAAAGGCAAAAGCTAGCTTTCTGAGTCAAATAAGTAATCTCAGTTTAAAATACACTAGAATATTCAGTTTGAAATTCATAGCAATTGATATTTCTATGTTGGCAATATTAAGCAGCATGTATCACAATGACTGATACATACTAGATGTCTGTAAAGTGAATTAACAGGTGAATGTTGGCTAACATTTGTAAATTTTACAGGAATAGTATCTAGCAGATTGAAGGTATTTAGGAGAGATACATGGTATTGCAACAGTGAAATGTTGTAATGGGCATTCATTGTGACAGAAGCTTTCTATACACAAGTACAGAAACTAACGAGAGCTGGAAAACAATGAAATACTAAAGATTATTATAGAAATTAGTTCTTGATCTTTAATAAATTCATTTCATGAGATTGTATATATGTACATATGGATCTTGCTATACAGTTCATGCTGCAGAGAAATAATACCTCCCTACTGTATAAAAGTAACAGTGTAGTGAAAAAAAAACTACTTGTAACTAAAATTAATAATTTCTGACTAATACAACTCAGGTATTGCACTCTTTTGAATTTTTATTGATAATCACTACAATCTATCTTCTGTTTCTTTTAAAAAAAATAGATTGTAGATAAAATGTCTCCAGAGAAGTTGGTGGAGTGGACCAACCCTGGGAAAATGGAAACAAGGAATGTGAGCTTGCACCTGCCCCGGCTGCAAGTGCAGGACAGCTATGACCTGGAGGCTGTCCTGGTGGCTCTGGGGTTTGGAGATCCTTTCAGTGAACTGGAGGCAAACTGCTCAGGAATGTGCCTGCAATCCAAGCTGCAGGCCCAGAAATTCCTGCACAGGTCCTTCCTGGAGGTGACTGAGGAGGGAACTGAGGCTACTGAAGCCGCCAGCATGACCTTTACAGTCTCACCAGACTCAGGCTGTGAAAATGTTCACTGTAATCATCCTTTCCTGTTCTTCATCAGACACAATGAGGCCAACAATCTTCTTTTCTTTGGGAGATTTTCTTCTCCATAAAACAGTCAGGGAAGCAGACATGGTCGCACACGCATGGAATCCTACTACTTTGGGAGGCTGAGGTAGAAGGATCTCAAGTTGAAGCCATCCTGGGCAACATTGTGACTTAGCAAGACCCTGCCTCAAAATTAAAGATGCAATAAATGAGCTGGGGATGGCATGAATTAAAATACTCACTATGGGAGTGTCAGATGGGCCAGCAGGGAGTGAAGGTGGGGGAGATTATGGCCATACATGGCTTTCTTAGAAAAGATGCTTAGTTGAAGTATTAACAGAACCACAGAAACTGTCCATACATTACAATTCCAATCTTCCCATTAAATTAATGACTTAATGACTCTAATAATGTATGTTTATATTTTTCCTTGAAAGTAAAACATTTTTTTGTGCTATGCATAAGGTAGTCAGAGCAAAGATCACACCCCTTTTGGGTTCTTTTTGAAAATAAACCCATATCTTGTAAGTGTTTGGCACTAATGGGCAGAAATGGTATCTTTGATAATAAGTGTGGGTCCCTTCAGTTCTAGAATTTTTACATTTTATAATATACAAATAAAATAGGACAATAATTTACTCAATTATTTGTTACTTTTTCCTTACACCAAGCTGCATCCAGGAAAGAGATTTTGGAGATGTATTAGTGAAACAAAATAAAATTCAAACGTGAGAATAAAATAAAATTAAATAACATACCAGACAGAGAGGATTTCTATAGTTTATTGTCCATTTTGACATAGTCTAACATAGTCTAACACAGCAATTTTGATATCTGAAAGAAGTGTGATAACTGAGAATATAAATATTGCTGTTGATGCAAGTGCCTACCTTATTACACTCTCTAAGGCTTTAGATAGTTGACAATTGGAAAATTTTTTAGTCTCATAATTGTTTTCTTTTTCTAAATCCCCTTTCATTATTTCTTTCTTTATTTATTGAGTGAAGCATAGGCATTACTAAGTGGTATTTTCTTAAAGATGCTTTTAAGTAAAGCTCTGATACTTTCTGATTCTCTTCATTGTGAATCCATATTACTTTTTTGAATTTTTAATAAGTACATATTACTCATTTTTCAACAGTTGTGTTGAGCCATAATTTGCAAACCATAAAATTCACACATTGTAAGTTACGATCTATTGATTTTTGGTAAATTTCCAATATCGGACATCTATCATCACAATCAAGTTTTAAAATATTTCCATCACCTTTAAAAATTTCCCCATTCCAGTTGCCACTTTTCATCTCAGGCAATCACTGCTTTTTCTTTTTAACTTTATAATTTCTTTTTTCTTCTACATCTTGTATAAATGGGATTCTACAATATATAATATTTTGTGCCTGTCTTCTTTTGCTTAGCATGATTTTGAGATTCATTCTTTTTGTAGCACGTATTCATCCTTAATTCCTCTTTATTGCTGGATAATATTCGACCTCATGGAAATTCCATTTCATGGATTTTTCCCACCTTTTGGCTCTTGTGAGTAATGCTGTTATGAACATTTGGTCTTTGTATAGACAGAGACTTTCATTTACTTAGGTAGCTCACTATGAGTAGAATTTCAGGTCTTATGATAAGTTATTTGCTTTTTAAGAAAATGAAAACTCATTTCCAGTGTTTTCACTTTTCATTGCCACCAGCAATATATAAACGTTCCAGACTTCACATCCTTGCCAGGGTCATCAGTGTGTTATAATTACAGTCACTCTAATAGTTGGAAGTGGTATCACACTTGGTTTTAATTTACATTTCTTTAATAATTGATTAGATTGAATATTTTAATGTGCTTATTGGTCAATTGTATGATTTCTGTTGTGAAATATAGAATCATGTCGTTTTCTCATTTTATTTATTTTTTTATGTATTTAGTACAGGGTCTACAGGGTCTCACTACACAGATTGGACTCAGTGATCCTCCTGTTTTCAGTCTCCCAAGAGCTGGGATTACAGACACATGCCATCACGCCTAGTCTCATTCACCATCTCCGTGGGGACAGGCCGTCATGGCATGCAGGGGATCGAACTCCGATCCCTGTGTTTGCCTAAGCAGGCTCTTTAGTCCGCTGAACTATCTGGCTGGCCCATTTTCTTATTTTAAAGTTGGGTTGTTTGCTTTATTAATTTATTATTACATTGAAAGGCTTTACATACTTTAGGTATAATTCCCTTATTAATATATTCCACTACTTAAGCTTTATTATTTTTCTTATTCCTGTCTTTTATATTGTGCTTTTAAAAGACCTAATTTATATGGCATAAATTTCCACATTAGTATTGTAGAGTTCAATGATTTTACTACATTCAGTGTTGTGTAGGTATATCTATTCTCTAACTTTAAGACAACTCTAGTGCTCTTAGAACCATAACTCCTCATTGCTCTGCTCTCTAAATCATGGAGATCATTCCACTGTCTGGCTTTCTCTACTTGCATATTATTGACATGTATAAATGACATCATTCATTTGCTTAGAATAATGATTGCAAGGTTCAGCTAAATTGTCACCTGAATCATTTTCATTCTCTATTATGGTTATGTTTAATTGCATGGATAAATAAAATTTTTTGTATTCATGCATTGGTTGCTAAACATTTGTGTTTTGTGGCTATTCTGAATGTTACCATACAAAAATGTTGGATGAGTTTTTGCATGGACGTATCTTTTCATTTTTCTTGGATATATTTTCAGTAATGGAATTTCTGGGTCATGTGGCATTTTTGTGTTTGTCATTTTGGGGAACTGCTACATTGTTTCCCAAAGCAGTTGCATAATTTTACAATGCCACAGCAATGTATCTGAGTTTCTGCTTTTCACGTTGTTGCCAGTGTTTGTAGTCTGTCTTTCTCATTTCAGCTGTTCTAGTGAATGTGAAGTCTTGCTTCATTATAGTTTTGTGAAATATTTTGAATTGCGATTGGAGTCCAATTGATTAATATTATATAATTTGTTTTGCAGTGCTGAGGATCTAGCTCAGGCTTTACATTTCAGTCTTATGTTTTAAGGATCACATTGTTAGCATCAAATCTAAGTCCTCTTATTAACCTCAAGATTCAAATGTAGGTTTTTCTAGGTCTCTTTTGCTCTTCTATTCACACTCATAGTCCTTTTGTGATCTGTGCTATTGTAGTGCAGTGTAAGGGTAGAAGTTCATTTTTTGCATATGTAATCATTCCTGCATTATTTCTTTAAAAGATGGTCATTTTGGTGTTGAATTGTCCTGGTATTTTAATAAAAAAATCAAATGACTACAAATAAAGGTCTTTCAAATCCCCTCAGAATTTACCCTGGAACCATGTACAGCACCTTGTAGATCCTTTGTCAGTGTCAGTCATCTGGATGAGTCACAGCCATTGCTTGACCCATTTGCTCTCTGTGAAAGCCTGAGAGAATGTTTTCTCTCCACGTGGCTCTCTTTAGGCACACTCTGCATCATCGATCACTTTCCTTAGTGGCCCCATAAGCTCCTTGATCAGAAAATTTGGGATACCACTGAATTACAGGATGTTGCAGTACAGGTTCTCCTGTGTTCTGAGTCCTCACTGAGCTTGAAGGGCTATGACAAAAATGTTGGCTGTCCTTGTAGCCCTTCCTTTTCTCTAATTTTTTGGTCTGCAAACATAAGTTGTTAACCTTCCAGAAGAGAAGATTAATGATATTATTACCCTAAAACATAGACATTTGAACTTAACATCCCTGTCTGTCTGAGTATGAAACCCCTTAGACATAACATATTTTGCAACAACCATGGATATTCTAAAATTTAAATCCCTATATAATGTTAAAAATATATGTTACATATATAATATACATGTATATGCATAATAGTCAGGATAGATATACAGCTGTTTTCTCTTAGTTCATTCATTGAGAAGAAAGGTTTGTAATATTATTGTTTTAGACAAGATATCATGTCTGCATCCTGTTCTCTGAATAACTACGGCAAAGACAACAATATGCAGTGTATCAATTATTATAAATGTGCTACTAACCTGTTTTGAAACTGTTTCATTGCTACTTTTTCTCATTAAAATAAATTTAAGAAAACAGATAAATGAAGGCTTTATCTTGAGCCTCTTAGTTACATTCCATTGCTCTGTGCTCCCGTACTTGTGCTAGTACTGCTGTAATTCTGCAATCAGTGATTATAATTATTTGTTATTTTTAAAAATTATTTTGGTCATTATAGGTCCTCTGCGTTTTCATATAAATTTAGAATATTTGTCTATTTCTTTAAAAGTTGATGTTTGGATAATAATTAAATTAAATAATTTTATCAATTTTGAGTTTCCTGATGCATGAATACACACTGTGTTTACTTAGCAGTTTCATTCTTCTCAACAAAATTTCATAGATACTGCTATACAGGTCTATTTTGGTGACTTTCTTTTGACAAATTTTGATGGGATTGTTTTCAAAATTTCACCCTGATTATTCATTCATAGTGTGCAGACCTCTGATTGGGTTTTATGTAAAAAGGTTTATATATCTACTTTGCTAAATTCATTTATTTTTCATAACAATTTCTTCGTGGATTTCTTATATATTTCAAAAAACCTATCTTAGAAACTCCTTATCAGGTTGAAGAACTTCCTTTCTATTCTGGATTCATTAGTTTTACTGCAAAATTTTGTTACATGCTTTTATTCTTTTCTTGAGATAATATGTGATTTTTTTTCTATTAATATAGTATATTGGATTTTACATCATTCATGACCTGGGTTCAACATAATTTAAACTTGTTCTGTATGTTATTAGATATAGCTTGCTAACACTTAGCTATAGACTTTCGAATCTATCTATCTATCTATCTATCTATCTATCTATCTATCTATCTATCATCTATCTATCTATCTATATCTTTTGAGACAGAGCCTTGGATTCCAAATTCAGTGAAAGCTGATTATCAAGGTGTGTCCTGTAAACTCTCCTACGTCAGTACCGCAGCAGCACTGTTATGCAGAACTTTAGTCTCAGACAGCATCATCACTAAAAGATTGAAGACTTTTT